AACAGTAACCTCATAGTATCAAAAGAGGATGTGTGGATATGCTAGAAGCCACTGGATTACATGTTGTAGTGGTGAAAATAACACAGGAAACACTGATTTCTTAGGAGTCATGATTGTTAGCCTGGTTCTTGCTGGATCTGTGGGAGATCCTCAGCTGCTGCTCCTTTGGTTCCATCACATATGTAGCAGTGTCACTGAGATAAGACTCATGTGTGTTGACACCAGGCAGCCTTGAAACAGTGGTACCGAGTGGGTGGTATAGTACTAGATTGTTGCACGTGAACTGTCACTTCTGCTGTGGATTATCTGCTTTGTTGACTTTTGTTAACTTTTGAATTGTTCTTTTCCTCAGCTCTTGGAGGCTGTCCCTAGGGACTATATTTGAAGGGAGCCCAGAGACAGACACGAGATGTGAAAATAAGTATCTGCATCCTGCTTTTATGAGCTCATAAAAAATCCAAATCATTCAAAAGAGAAGGGGAATAGGAAGAAATTAGAAATTGAAGGATGCATAGAAATGGAAAACTCTCAAACGATTCTCATTTTTCATTTATCATTTAAAGTTGACAAATTTGTTTACCCTAGTTCTAAACCTCTTAATTATTTTAGTAAGAGAAGAGATTTTCTGTTTTTCCTAGGTACAGTTCCAAGAAGACAACCACACTTCCTCACTGCCCTGCTCCTCCCCCAATCCCCTTCCAACTCTCCCCTCTCATCAGTTTTTGCAAAGCCATCATTTTAATCCAAACTATATTCAAAAACTTAATTCACCACTAATATTCACAAGTAAAAATTAGGAAGACTGCAGTTCAACAGGAGTATAAACAGGAGCTACATATGACAATAATAGTCCAAAATGGGCATTTCATTCCTATAGATGTTTTGGTATTCTATATTAACTGCCATATATCTTAGAAAACATATAATATTTGTCTTTATTGAGATTGGCTTATGTCACTAAGCACAATGGTTTCCAAATGGATCCATTTTGTTGCAAAAGACAGGACTCCATTCTTTTTTTTTTCTTTTTTGACAGTCAGAGTAGACAGGGAG